CAAAGATGCACCAGCCAAGGCCATGACTTAGCCTCTTTGCCGAACGGCAGGATCCAGGTCATAGGTACCATGGGCCCGCAAATTTGCCTGCTGAAGCTTCAAGACCCAAGTCTACTTTTCTTTCAAAAGTATCCAGCTACCAAAAATCCCAGAGGCTAACATAACTTTTATCATACCTTTCAAGTATTAACGCAACTTCTAGCTTGCCAACTTGGGGGACTAGGGAATGCCCTATGTCTCCTACTGAACCTGGAATGCTCAGTCATGATTACACAAAAATCTAACAAGTTCCCAACCCAGAAGTTACTTCTTGATCGTGAACTTGGGGGACTATTGTTTACACCATAATCAACCAAGCATATCCAACCTCAAAGCGACTAGCACCAAAGGCAGACACGCCTTCTTTCTTGCCGAAGGAAGACATTCTTCCGAGGTGCCAAGCACCTGCCGAAGCTCCCGACTGTTGAAAATCCTAATTGCTGAACTTAATCTCAAGGACACATGTCACCACCACAACGACTTGCACAAAGTCCCACATCGAAAATCTACACGAACCTCCCACTTTCACTTCCCTATAAATAGGGAACAGTACCCTAGTAAAAAGGGGTAACTACTTTCTTACCTTTTACTATTACTCTGCTCAATTTACTACTCTTAGCTGACTTAAGTATCGGAGAGCCTTCGGCCGGCACCACACCGATGTCCGAAGCTTAATGATTGCTTCTCCTATTTTGTCTTCTGCAGGCTCAACCCTTACAGAAGGTCCTCACCTTCTCCACTGCTGAAGGCAAACCCCTTTTTTCTAAGTTGACCCTCTCCCAAAAAGAGCATCAACACCTCTCATGGCAGCATAGTGAAAAGGGACTTTTCCCTTCTCATCAAGACACAATCACGTGCCACGATATACAAGGAGCAAAGCCTGGATGATCTCCTTGTGCCCCTTAGCAGAAGCCAAGTGCAAAGGTGTGCTTCTAAAGGAGTTCAAAGCTTCTGCAAGTTTTGGAATGTGAGTGAGAAGGGTTTTGGTAATTTCAAGGTGGCCTAACGAAGCCGATATATGTAAGGGTGTTAGAGTTTTGGTGGTCAGTACTGGTGCAAGGTTTCTAAGAATATGTGGGTTTTTTTCGATCAATACGTTTAAGGATTCTACACACCCAGACCATGCTGCCTCATACACTTTATCTTCACCATGTCTAATGGTCTATATTCTCTCTCTCTCTCTCTCTCTCTCTCTCCCCCTCTCCTTCTTCTCTAATTTGCTCATCTAAATTGAAATTAAGCGTGCACTTATATAGTCGTGATCAATGCGCGTCAATTCTGAAGTCTTCCAAGTCTTCTTTCTTCCTAGGCCCTAGCAGCTGGGACTTTTCGGACATATTATCTTTTTCCAATATCAAGAAGTACATTCGACGAAGAAAAATACAATTATTTTTAAGGCACATTAAATTGAATATTCAAGCAAACAAGCAGTAAATCTCTTATTTAAAAAAAACATTGTTCGATTACGTTTTGTATCCAGGGCCGGTCTTAAGATTTTGAAGGCCTTGTGCGAATCTTAAACTGGGGCCTTACATAAGCTAACACAAACTTACACCATTACGTAATGCCACACAATAAATGTTTTTTTTTCTTAAAGTGACCAAAGTACCCCTACTCCCAAGGGCAAAATTGAAATTTCATAAAAGAATTAAATTCAATTAAATCGATTAAATTGGGTCAGGGATGTTACACCTTTTGAATAATCACCATGATTGTGGCAATGAGTCTTTGTCATCATAGATCATATTCAGATATTAAATATTTTTTAATACCTTATTTATTTTGTATCAATTTCCAAGAACATCATTAATTGGATGCAATTTTTTTGGTTGAGTTAGTTGGATGCATTATTTTTGCAAAATTGAATATTTGAGCATATATAAAAACAATTGTGTACCACTTTACTAACCACATTTTTAATCGAGGTGAGCTGTCACACCCTGGATCGACTCTGCCATAGCACGATATTGTCTACTTTGGGCCCCCCTTGCCCTCACGGTTTTGTTTCTGGGAACTCACGAGCAACTTTCCAGTAGGTCACCCATCCTGGAATTTCTCTAGCCCAAACTCGCTTAACTTCAGAGTTGCGGATATCGGCTTAGCCTTGCTCTAGGTGACGACCCCAACAGAATCCCCGCTTGGAAAGGAGGCCCTCACGCTTTTCCCTTTCGCTGCAGGAACGGTTTGAATCTTCTTAGAGGCCATCGTTTTTGGCGTGTTGGTTGATTTTGGAATTGGAAAAAGAGATGAGAGGTAGACATTGTTCCACTGGGCGTGCCAAATTTGTAAACACGAATTTCCTGCGACAAAATGAGACAAGAACACGTGTATAAAATAATATTTGTATTTATGAAATTTAGGGTTACAATCTCTGTATTGAATCCTCTGATTCGATCTCCAAAGTGTTTAAAGAAAATTTGTGTTTAATACAAGGGTCGTAGAGACTTGATCTTGATCAAACGGGTAGCACGAAGCTTGTTTGGTGTTTGGGAATTTTCTAGAGTGGAGGAACCGGCACATATTCGTTGTGCTTGGTGGCTCTTCTAACGTAGGGTGAAGAATGCATAGAGTTTTCTGTTTCTTCTGAATGCTAGGTTTTTTCTGAACCCCTTCTTTCGTCTTGATGCCTCCTATTTGTAGGCTCTTGTAGAATGTTTGACCTAAATAACTTTCCCTATTTAAAACCTTGTTTTGTGGGATTTTGATTTGATTTAAATCAATTCCCATAATCTGGCAATTTAACCAGATTATCTTCAATTGATTGACCTGATTAATATTTGATTTAAATCAAAATCAATCACAGAAGATTCTTTCCCTTAATTTTGTCTTCATCTTGAACCGTTTGATGCACTCCGTCGGATGTCGACACGTGTCACTTTTGACAACTAATCCGATTTTGATGAGTCATATGCCATATGGGCGAATTATGGGGCCCATAATTTAATCCACCAAACTCTAATTATTTTCTTATTTAGTGGAATTTAATTCTCCAAAATTTCTTTATCTACGCTATTAAACAAGGATGGAGACGTGGTAGGGTTGGGAATCGAGAGCGGGGTTGGAATATAACCGACCCATTGTCATCACTGCAAATAATCACAAAAAATTGAAATAATAAAAAATTTATGCAAGGGATGTAAATGGACTTGGAAAATGGGTGAGGAGGAGGGTTGCGGTTTGTGAGGTGGAGGGGTTCTCACGTTGTGGCTTTGTTTATTTTTTTTGTTTCAATTTTGAATTTAAGTTAACAGTGTTATGTTGAAGTTAAGGGTTGGACACATGTCAAAAAACTTATGCAAGAAAACAAAGAGACGTGGAAAGTGGTAACAGCGGATCTTGTCCTGTGCACATGTGTTGATAGGTAATTGGCTTTAATGTCGCTTGACAATGACAAATATTTGGCGTTTGACAGCGTTCGTGAAATTTGCGTTTAATTTACATTTCAAAACCCCTTATCAGTAGGCCATGTGGCTTTGTCAATTCATGCGAGAGAGAGAGAGAGAGAGAGAGAGAACGGAGATCATCTCTAAACAAAGTGAAGATGAAGTGTGGAAATAAAACAGGTCGTGTATGTACATTTGGAAATTAAGAATCCACACATGAATCAGACACATACTGCCAAATGCCATATCATGTCAAGTCCCATGTTGGTGTTGTTTGATTATAAAATTATTATTGACGTTCTTAAAAAGTCATTATGCACTTCTTGTCACTTTGTTTAAAATTTTAATGGGAATGCATATCTTTCCACCTAATATGTTTTTTTTGACCTCTCCAAATTTTCTATTTTATTGACCATATTTAGAGGTGTTAAACAAGTCGTGTCGGGTCCACCCAGTTAGGCTAAAAAAAAAGTCAAAAGTCAAAAGAGAGGTCTTAAGTTTGATTTCTCATTTTCATTGATAATAAAGAGTAGTTTAAGAAAAAACATACAATTCTAAATATTAAAACAAAACAAAAAAGGATACAATGAATGAATTATAGAAACTAAACGTCAATTAAGATCGGGTGCCATCTCAACCATCTAACTGTTGATTTTAACGGTCGGTCAAGATCGGCTTAGGTCCATATTTCATGTCTTAGTCCATCTCCATTTATGGGCCATAGGCCAAATGCAGAGCTACAATTTAGTCCTCCAAAATATTATTATTTTAAAGAATAGTATATGGCTAAATGTTTCCATATCCAGCCATGCATGACTATATTTTAAGGTCCTACATATTTTATTATTTTGGAAAAATTATGGTACAAACACTCATATATTAAACTACTATATATTGTTTAAATTAATTAAACTACTATTTAGGTTCTTTAGATAAATGAGTGTGGAAAGTTGTGAATAAGTAGAGAAAGTGACCAAATTTGTAAGAAATGAGTAAATTTTTTTTGAAGATATTTGAAGATATTTATAAACATATTTTAGGTTTTTTTAAAAGAAAAAGAAAAAAAAGAAAGCCCAACGGCTATGTTTGAAAATGTTAAACTTTCCAAATGTTATGACCCCAAAACGGTTAGAACAAGTTTATTTTTAATAACATTTTTAAAAGAAAAAGCCAAATTTAAAACATTCCAAAACTTCAAAAAGAAAAAAAAAACAGTAAAATCAATCTCCCGTTGTTTTCAGTTGCATTAAGTCCTTCCTTGCTCAGACCTACACCTGATTCATCCTCTAGTTGGCAGCACATGAACTCGGGCCACTACAAAAATTTGGCAAATAGGGAAAACCTTTTGTCTCTAAAAATGAGGGAAGAAGAGAGGGAGGAAGAGAAGAGGGGAGAGGGGAAAAGAACAGTGGCTTCCTCCCACCTCAAAGTGAAAACGGCTCTAGGAGGGTCTTTTGGGAGAAATGGGGCTAGAGTTGGGTATTAAGAATAAAAGCATGTTTGCAAAACAGATTGATTCTTTACTTTAATATAATGCAATAATATTGGAAAAAGAACTTTATTTATGTAAGTACTGGGTCTTAAAATTGCACATATTTTATAACCACATAAATTTCACAATACTAGACAAGAAGCACTTGGTACATAGTAGATGGATTAATAATGGAGAAAATGGAGAGTCCTCCAACACATGAAATCACACAAGCTAATAGGTGCGGATAATACAAATACTGATTAATTGGTCCTCTTAACCACCTGCAGGCGCATTCTCCTTGGAATTTATTGAAGCATTACGTGAAAAGGGGAGACAACTGATGATATTCTGGAGACGTGATTTTGATCTAGAGTAGGCGGGCGGCAACTTCTCCACCACCCAGATGAGAAAGTGAGTAGTGTTCATCACACTGATCATCACCAGCAACCCAATCCAAAGCTTAAAGGATTTTTTGTATATTTTAAAAGATGAATTGAAAAGGTCGCCGAAAGGGACCACCAACAACAGAACCTTTAGGTAGGTAAGCGCCATGCATGTGAGGGCGACGCACATGGCCATTAACAAGAGCCACATACATATCCGATTATGGAGAGGAAATCCGCTAACTAGCATAAGGGTGACGCTCACAGAAGCAAGGAACGAGACGGTATTGAACTTTATGAAGTCGAGGAAGTCACCTGGAAAGGTGTAGCCTAACACTGCAGTTCCAGCTACACATACATTGTCTTCGCTGCAAAATATGATGGATTGATCGTTAGATACAATGGAAGAGTTTGTGTTATTTTCTTGCCAAACACCACCTGGTGGGCTAACTACAGCTTGGAAAGTCATGGTTGAGATCACGGTTGCCACAACCATCAGAAGGCCACGCATCTCTTCCAACCATTGGTTGGGATATTTAAACCATTTCATCAATCTCTGAAGGATTCGAACATTTGGATTTGGTGATGGTTCGGCAGCAGCAGCATCAGCTGGAGGAGGAGGAGGAGGGGCGTGATCATTGTCAATATTAAGTTCTGATTCAGCAGCAGCTGGAGGAGGGGCGTGATCATTTTCATTATTAAGTTCTGAACTACTGTGCTCTAAGACATCTAACATGAGCTTAGACATCCCATTTACAGCATTCGCTTCTGTTCTTATATCAGGCAAGGAGAGCAGGTAATGTGCGGTCTGCACAAGCATGTACACTTTCTGTGTTAATTTGGTGAAAATTATGCTCTTTTACCATACAAAAAATGGATATTTTGTGCACATTAACATATATATGGGTCAGGATCCAAAAAATCAGATTGAAAATCATTCAGCATTTAAGAGTATTGTATTTCTTGTATCTCTCTCCTTTAATTTATTAAATCATTTTATTCAAAAGTTTTTTTTTGTCAACATTTTATTCAAAAGTTGAAAAATTAAAAAAGACACCCTTTATTTCTTCATCGTCTTCCTTCACCCTATGACATGGCAGGTTAGCCATGGTTTCTTCATCCCCACCATTCCTTTCTCTACCTTCACCACCCACACCTACTCTTTCTTGATATTATTTATCTTATAATACGTTAGAACCTAGAAAAAAAGACACCCATCTCCCCTCCCCTGTCTAGAACAGAATCATACACAGAAGATAACGTGCGTACATTCGAATTAGAGTTAGTTAACTATATATATATATATACCTGTTCACCAAGGACCAGGGGAAGAGCATGGTCCAAGCCTCAATTTAAAGAAAAACGATTTCATATTTTTTTTAAACTGCCTGAAAGTTCAATTGTATCGAAAAATAATTAATGTCTAATCCCACCCACCCCGTCTCTAAACAGTTTCTTTCACTCTACAGATTAGACTGCTTTCTTCCCCTTTTTTTAAAAAAAAAAAAATATTTATTTATTTATTTATAATTCTTCTGCTCAAGACCTCTGTTCTCTTCTTAATTTCTGGGGTTTAAGGTTTCTGATTTCCTTTGTCACAAGGTAGATAACTACTTAAGATTTCAAGAGTGAAATTAACATCATCAGGATGTAAAAAATTATAATATAAAAATAAAACTTTCCAGAAAACCATAATGAAGTTGAAAAGAAAGAAAATTCATAAAACTTTTACAGTACAAGAAATCACCAAAGACTATCTCAACTCATTTTCTGTAAGTAAACATGTCATAAAAGGAAAACTGAAATCGTAAGTATAAAAAAACACACATAGACAACTATATACACACATAAAGATATTTGTGTGTGTATATATATATATTCATACCTGAACTTGCCCTCGCATCCAAGCTGACTGCAGGATGGTCATACCAGCATCAGAGCCATCTTTTGAGTTGAGGAACTCACCATTGTCCCTCACCAGTTGAACCAGAAATTTCAAGCACTCTAACTGGTTATATTTAACACACAAGTGCAAAACAGTTTCTTTTAATCTATTATCAACCTTAACGTAAATGGACTTATGATTTGCATGTGTCAACTCCTTGAGGACCTCAACATCTCCTCTCATGGCTGCATAGTGAAGAGGGATTCTTCCCTTCTCATCAGGACACAAGCACGCGTCAGGATATGCAAAGAGCAAAGCCTGGACGATCTCCTTGTGCCTTCCAGCAGAAGCCAAGTGCAAAGGTGTGTGTCCACTGGAGTTCAACGCTTCTGCAAGTTTTGGAATATGAGTGAGAAGGGTTTTGGTAAACTCAAGGTGGCCAAGCAATGCCGATATATGTAAGGGTGTTTCAGTTTTAGTGGTCAGTACTAATGCAAGCTTTCTATGAATATGTGGGTCTTTTTCGATCAATGCGTTTAAGGATTCTACGCACCCAGACCGTGCTGCCTCATACACTTCATCTTCACCATGTCTGCTGATCTCCATTCTCTCTCTCGCTCTGTCTCTCTCTCTCTCTTTTTCTAATTTGCTCACCTTAATTGAAATTAAGAGAGTGCACTTATATAGTCGTGATCAATGCTCGTCAACTCTGAAGTCTTCCAAGTCTTCTTGATTCCTGGGCCCTGGCAGCTGGGACTTTTCGGACATATTATCTTTTTCCAATATCAAGAAGTACATTCGACGAAGAAAAGTACAATTATTTTTAAGGCACATTAAATTGAATATTCAAGCAAAGAAGCAGTAAATCTCTGATTTTAAAAAATTGTTCGATTACGTTTTGTATCCCTAAAGTTTATGTGAAATTCGGTTTGATCCATAACCTTCAAAACATTTGCAAAAAATTAGATAAATCGGAAACCATTTATATATCTAATTGTGTCCTACAAAATCAATAAACATGGTACTTTAAGAAAGTTTTAAATTTTCAATAATTTAATTCAATGGTCAAATAATATCGAAATAAAGTGATTTTTTTTATTTATAGAGATGATCTTTGAATGAATATCTGCAAAATAAACGGTTTGGATTAGTAAAATACAATCTGGAGTAGGTGCTACAAGAGTGTCTCTCACAGTGGCGAACCCAGGAATTGATGTTAAAGGCCCTCTTGCAAAATATAAAAATAAAGGGAATGAGAACATAAACACTACAGATTCTCATAGAGCTTCTTGAAAATCATTTTCAAACCCCTGGACTAATATCCCCTAAAGTAAAAATCAAAAAATAAGCTTTAAATTACAACTTTTACACATCAAGTTCTAATTGTTGTATATATAAAACCCTTGTGTCCTCTTTCACTATTCATTTCAATTCATACACAGAACATTAAATTGTTTACACAGAGAGGGGGAAAGAGAAACAGAGAGACATAGAGAGTTGAGTAGGGGCCTGAGACCCCTCTGGTCCCTACGTAACTCCACCACTGCCTCAAATAAGATTATTATGATGGTCAAGATTTTTCAAAATTTAGATAAATGCATGATCTCTAAATATAGAGACTCGAGATCCTAAAATATTACAACAAAACTTTCTGAAATATTGAAGAAGAAATATTACATCATTTTAACCTTATAAATGTTGGATCAAGAATAATTGAACGGTTAAACGTGTTTGGTACTTTAAGGTGGTTCTTGACTGAGTATTTTTTTGTTTTGGTGTCTTCACGAGTTCAGTGGGCCGGAGATACAACAGCAGCCACACAACTACACAAGTATCTCCAGACAAGTAATATCAAATGAAACGTCAAGCCGAAAAGATGAAAGTAACAGTTTGGAATATCGATAACCAAAAGAAAACAAGTGGGAATATTATTTAAATTTTGGTGACCGTGAAAAGGTTGATTTATTTTTGTGATCAATATGGATGCATGGGCAAGAAAGAGACCTTCATCTGCCTCATAGAACCTTCAACTGCCTCATTAATCTGTTTTGAATGTTCATCCTCCCACTTTTTCCATTGATGTATCTAAAGCACGATAAGGATGTTTCTAAAATCCTATCTAAGACACTAGATGTTCGCGTTGCTGGAGAACAATCAGAATATAACCAAATAACAGAATAAAAACAATACGTATTATATATATATATATATATAATCAAATCAATACAATAGTAGAATAAATTACAAAATATTGACTTGGATAGATGATAGAGTGGTGTAGAGTTGCAGTGTCCTTTAGATAGTATTTATCCTCTACCCTTGTGCTTGTAGTTCGATAGGAGTCTGCCCACCAGGATTAAACTATCACAAATCAAAGCCTAAGCATTGTGGCTTCGATTTCTGACGAACAGTGATATGCTTTCTCTCAAGAAGTATTTATGTGTGTTAGAATGATAATGCAATTCCAAAGTCTATACCTTCTGGTTTGGACGAATTGTCAATATATAAAGGTCTGATACTTTTTCATCCAGTAGTTATAATAATTGTTTAAATAAATTCGAATTTCATATAATGATTTTATCTGAAAACAAATTTCTAATTAATAAAAATAAATATTAATTAAATCAATAGAGCCTAAGAGGCCCTAGCCCATCTTTTGACAATTAAAGATGAGACCCAACTTTGCCTCCACTAGGCCATTCCCTATTTAGTATTTCTAAAGTGTTGAGCTTTTAAACCATGAAAGGAAACAACATCCTTCCAATGTGAGACTAAGTGAAAACGTATTTTCCTGTACAAACTCTAACAATACCCCACATTTGAATTAGAAAATTATAACGCTCATATTTGAGAGAAAACTTAGATATAACATACATCAGGAGAGGTGTCTTTTGTACTTGAACCTACTGTAGTGAATATTTATTGGATTTACTAGGAGATGCAGTGAATATAAAATCTTGAATTGTTCACCTATTGTAGAGTGAACTAAGACAACAAGTCTCACATATGTTACATGTTAACAGACCACTTATTTATATGTTTGTGTTCATTTTGGTCTTGAACAAATCCTGGATTCATAAGAGCTTAGAGAATTTAGCCATCTCATTCTCATAAATGCTACTCCACATTTACTCCTATATAGGTAATGTTGACTAAGAATAGTCTGTCCTATTCCCCCTGATTTCAAGAAATCAACATCATTAAACTTTCGTACCCTAATAAACTTCTTGCAAACAACACACTTGTTTCCATAATGGGAATGAGATATAAGTGTGTTAGCTCATTTGAATCATGCCTAACCAGTTTGCCTATTGAACCTAGACAATGGGATCTCCAATCAGCCAGGTTACATTTCCGTTAGCCCGATTCATTTATTGAATTGGCTTTAATCTCATTCCCCTCGATGTCTATTTAATTTGCTCTCTTGACAAGCTTTTTGTAAGTGGATCAGCAAGATTTTATTTTTAACCTTATATAGTCAATGGAAATTATTCCATTTGAGAGCAACTGCTTGATTGTATTATGCCTTCATCTAATATGTCTAGATTTTCCATTGTATACATTATTTTTGGCCTTTGCTTGAGCAGCCATACAATAACAATGTATACAAATAGTCATTACAGGCTTAGGACAAATAGGAATATCCTTTAAAAAATTTCTTAGCCATTCAGCTTATTCACCAGCCTTATCTAAAGCTACAAATTTTGATTCCATTGTTGATCACGCTATGCAAGTTTGTTTACAAGATTTCCAAGATACGAATTCTTCTTCTAGTATAAAAACATATTCACTAGTGGAATTTGTTTCTAAATCATTAGAAATCCAATTGGCATCACTGTATCCTTATAGTATGTAACATCGCATATCGACCAATGGAGAGGGGGTGATGTGCCTTATATGTACATGCCCACCTCCATCTAGCACGAGGCCTTTTGGGAGCTCACTGGCTTCAGATTCTATGGCAATTCCGAAGTTAAGCGAGTTTGGGTTAGAGTAATCCTAGGATGGCTGACCTACTGGGAAGTTGTTTATGAGTTCCCATAAACAAAACCGTGAAGGCAGGGGCTTAAAGCGGACAATATCGTGCTACGGCGGAGCCGATCTGGGATGTGACAAAATTGTATCAGGTCCATTTTTCTGTATGGTACGAGTGTGCCGATGTGGATGTCGGGCCCCTAAAGGGGGTGGATTGTAACATCCCATATCGACTAACGGAGAGGAGATGATGTGCCTTATATGTACATGTCCACCTCCATCTAGCACAAGGAATTTTAAGAGCTCACTGGCTTCGGATTCCATGGCAATTTAGAAGTTAAACGAGTTTGGGTTAGAGCAATCTCAGGATGGCTGACCCATTGGAAGTTGCTCGTGAGTTCCCAGAAACAAAACCTTGAAGGCAAAGGCCCAAAGTGGACAATATCGTGCTAGGACGGAGCTGATCCGGAATGTGACATAGTACTGGAGGATATTCGGTATAATGTAATCCATACTCCAAAGTGAAATTCAAATATCTCAAAACTCTAATCAATGCTTTCCAATGATCATGTCCTGGATTACTTGTATACCTATTAAGCCTACTCACAGAATAAGCTATATTAGGTCTTGTACAATTCATAATGTACATAAGACTTCTAATGATTTGTAAATATTTCTTTTGTGAAACAACTTCAACATCTTTTTTCTTTAATTTGCAATTTCCATCAAAAGATGTCACAACATGATTACTTCCAAAATGACCAAACATTCTAAGAGCAGTTTCTTTATAATGGGGTTGTGTTAATATATAACCATCTAAATTTCTTTTAACTATAATGCCAAGAATCACATCAACAAGACCTAAGTCTTTCATGTCAAAATTGGAGTTTAACATTTTCTTAGTAGAGTTAATTAAGTCCTTGTTTGTCCCAATTATGAGCATGTCATCTACATATAGACACACTATGACACATGTGTTCTTATGTGTCTTAATATAGACATATTTATCATATTCATTTATTTTAAATCCATGTGTCATCATAGTAGGGTCAAACTTTTCATGTCATTGCTTTGGAGCTTGTATTAGTCCATCAAGAGACTTTACAAGTTTCCAAACTTTTTGTTCTTGACCTTTTACTACAAACCCCTCGGGTTGTTTCATATATATTTCCTCATCCAACTCTCTATTTAAGAAAGTAGTTTTTACATCCATTTGATGTATTTTCATTTCATAAATTGATGCTATAGCAATCAACATCTTTATTGATGTTATTCTTGTCACGGTTGAATATGTATCAAAAAAATCCAAACCTTCCTTTTAACGGTATCCTTTGGCTACCAATTCAGCTTTATGCTTATCAATTGTACCATATAGTTTTAATTTCTTCTTCAAGATCTATTTGTACCCAATTAGTCTATTACCAGGTGGTAAATCAACCAATTCTCATGTATGATTTTGCATAATGGATTCAACCTCACTATTGATTGATTCTTTCCAAAATGGAGTTTCAGGACTTGATATTGCCTCTTTATATGTTTGAGGCTCAGCTTCAGCTATCATGGTCAAGAAATCAGGTCCAAAATCTTTTCGTATTCTTGTCTTTTACTTCTTCTAGGTTCTTGATCTTATTCATTTTCTTGAACACTAGATGAAGTAGGATTACCAT